ATACTGTGCTAGGTGCGGGGGGGGGGTATGAGGGCTTTTGCCCTCACAGCAACCCTGAGAGGGAGGCTGGGCAATGATCACACTCCCATTAAACAGAGGGAGCAAAAATGAGACAGCAGCTGAACTTGGCTTTTATAGATGGAGTTCACTCAGTGAGCCAAGATTCAGTCAGCCTGTTCAGGAGCACTGTGAAGGGATGCAGGAACTTGGATGCTCACAGATGTACCCCCAAACACTCTCCTACCCCCACCTGTCTTCCCAGCCAGATAATCTGGTGACCCTAGTGGAATTTGCAGCTGTTTTCGAGAGGGACTCAACCCCACTACTACCCGACATGTATTTGTTCCTTCCCCTGAGCCACAGAACCTACTCATTCCAGATGATCTCCCTCCACCAATTATGACAATCATTGTCTATTGCAGGGTCTGATTACACAATTATATTTTCTCATGTTAACTGCATAATTAAGAAAAATGATTACATAGAGAAAACTTAGGAGATTTCCAGGCTCCAAATGTACTTGGGGAGCCCAGCAAGATGCCCTTAGTGTCCCCCTTAGGAGGGCAGTGAAAATTCCAAGGCGTAGATGTAGAAGTTGAGTAGTAGCCATTTCTCTCACCACTAATTTAGAAGCTTTTATCCTCACAGTCCATGGGTACTGGGGCTTCCTAGACCATTTACCTCGATTTGAAAACCATGTCCCAGCAGGTATGGCCTTTCAAGCCCCTGGCAGAGGACGTTCACCCACACGCAGCCACTGGCCTTGGAGAGATACAACCTGGCCCATGGCTCTTATTCTTCTAGGAGTCAGGTGCGACATGACTCTTCCAGGGGCTTCCAGCAACCTTGGAAATGCACAGCTGCGGGGAGAAGCTGCAGACATTTCTTCTGTGTCCACTACTTTGGCTTTTGTCCTTTTCCTCAGGAGACCCACAGGTCGGAGAGAAATTACAGGTCATTCCCTTCTGCATCTCGCCTTCCTTCTGTCTTCTGTAGAAGATGACTCAGGAAGCCTTCCTTGGTTAGTTCTATCCTGGCATCCCCATCAGGATGACCCAGTCCCATCTATCCAGTGACTTGTCTACCTCAGGGCCCTCCCTTCTATAGACTGGGAGGCTCCAAATGGCCTCGGAGAAACCTCATCCACTCCACCTCCCTCTTGTACTGGTGCCCAGCCATCATGGAACCCACCCCTCCCCCATTATATGTACATTTGCCTACACGGTCTTATTTCAAATGTACCCAGGGAATTGGCTATTTAAAGAAATACTGTAGAAGATCCTTTTGTAAAGACTGTTGGATTTATTTTTATGTAACATTGGATTTTCATCTCTCTAGGGGAAGCAGTAGGGTGATGGAGAGGCTGCAGGCAGGCTCGTGTCTTTCTAACGCTTGCCGTACCGCGTCTTGCATGCTCCTGTGTGGCTCAGCGTATCTCAAGTGCACCTTATGTGTTTACACCCATGTCTTCAAGGCTATCTGTGAGCCAGGCTCAGTGTGCCGGAGGTGGGGGACACAAAGATGGATGAGACCCGTCCCTGCCCCTTAGGGCCAATGAGGGAGACATGGACGCAGATGTCCTAGGTGCATCCATACACGTGTTCAAGGGGAGTAATGGTTGCACAGAGGGAGGTGGGATCACCTCTTCCCTGCACTGGGATAAGCAGGGAAGGTGGTAGAAGGGATGCGGACAGGCTAAATTCATGGCATCTGTGGGTGTCTTCTTCAGTTGACCTTGGTTACCAGAGCTGGAGGACAGGGGTGAAGCCTGGAGCAACCTTGGCAGGAATCAGGGACTGGGTGTTGCGGAAGAGCAAGTTTCACAAGTTCATCAATAGTGCCATGTCCTGTAGATTCTAAGCTGGAGGGAAAGGGAAGAAGGTCGGGCAGGGAGGAATGCAGGGATAGGCGAGAGGAAGGGATGGGGGGTGGCAAGCAAAACAGGCAAGCGCAGAGAGCTGGAGGGTCCCTGAAAGAATCAGCCCACCTACTGTGGGATGTTGGCCAGGTCTACTAAAAGCTTGCTCTCTTCTAAACTGAGATACCATCTTCCTCGAAGGCTCACCTGTGACAGTGCATACAAAGGGACTGACCCAGGAGGCCTTTACCTCCTTTCAGTTTGCACTGAAAGCTGCCAAGCGCAACAGGTGCTGACCCAGAGGAGCCCCAAGTCCACGTCCTTTTCCTTCTGTACCTTGACCCTGGGCATCTTCTCAGTGCACAACACATGGAGGGCATCGAGCAGATGTTGGCAAGACAGGTAACAGCAAAGACATAGCTGCCTGCTGGCTGCTGTATCCTCTACTTTCTCTAAGAGATGAATGTTAGGAAGGTATCTGCCTGTAGGTGTTTTTTTTTTTTTTTTTTTTTTTTTTTTTTTTTTTTATTTTTTTTTAAAT